CCCAACAATTAATCAATTAAAATTTGATGACAAAGAACCTACTTTTTTTTTTAATAAAAGGTTAGAAACAGCTAAAATGGGTAGTGTACTATTTGTAATAGTTTCTTTCACTCCAACTTTACTTCATTAATCAATTAGCAAATTCGACAAATTTCCCAGATCAATCATTAATAGTGTCATGATATAAAAGACTGTTTAATTTAGATTTTATTGATTGATTTGTTTTTGTGAGTGAATATTTTATTACAGTTTAGTTTTTGTTACAATAAGAATTAAAAGCAGACGATTGTAGGAGGTTTTGTTAAAAATTCATTGATGTTCAGACTATTGAACGTTGCGTGCAATACACTGAAGTCAAGAATATAGAAGGTGGACAGATGGTTAAGTGATAAAGATATGAGTAGTGTGAGACAGAAGCAGACAGACAATAGCAAAACAGAACAAAGTTACAGGCAAGAAAAGTTCAGCATGAAGTTAACTACCGTAAAAGTGATAGGCCTAACGTTTAATATGTTAGAGTAAGATTAACAGTAGAAAATGAGATAAAAATAATTTATTCCATCAAAATGTGGTTCTAAAGTAATTGAATCAGCCTGAGTGCACTTTGACAAAAGGAACAGAGGATCTTCAGAAGAAAGATGACCAAATGATTACGGTAACTCATGCCACAATTGTAAGTGAATCACAAACAGAATACTAGTGCAATAGTAATAGAGAAGATAGTTTGGCTTGTCAACTGACAAGAAGAAGATAACTACAAATATAGTGTTTATAATATGCCTGTAATCTCTAGAGTGTGAAGACTTTGTTGTACATATGTTTAACATGTTACGAATATATATTATTTTGGAAACAAGTGAAGTGCGTGCTGTTTATTTATCTTTGAATTTATTGCTAACAAATCACAAACACCTACTGTAGAAGAATCCTGAGCCAAACAACAATATAGTATATATTTATACTATTAAGAAATATAACTTAAACCCTTTTTATTTTGACAATTAGAAAAAAGAACATATATTTTAAATTCTGAGAAATAGTCTCTCAAGAATAGGCAAGCAAAATATCGATGTGTTTTTGAGCATAGTATGTTATTCATATGAAACAAGTTGTTGCTTATGTTGTTATCTGATCAGCACTGAACTAAAATAACAGTCCTATCATTTAGTCATTTACTTTACGTGCACCTCTCTCATCACAGATCACTAATCCTGGTTGGTTACATTACATTGATGTTGCTGGTGCAGTGACAGAAGGGATTCCTAGATGTTCTACTGATAGTAAAAGTTTAGGTTTCTTAAAATAAATGCAACATGAGCATAGTATCTCATTATCCTAGGAACTTTGATAGTATGTAACTTTTGATGCTACATGCTGTGATTGGAGTTTGATGCACAACAGTGTGCTTTTGTCATAGAACAGGACATAACCTCCACCATTCCTTGCCATTTTCATACAGAACATTCTCTGTGTATGTGTAAAAAACTGAAAGTACCATAATCTACACAAATCTATATAAATTGATTCTAATGTGCAGGGCTCGATTTTAACGGTGTCCGAGATGACTAAAAACTTCCTCAGACAATCAGTTTAAACCCCTGTGTTATCTGACGATGACTAGTGCCCTGGAACACGTCCTTACTATACATGTAATGTTGACTCCAATCAAAATCATTGGTAAATTCCCTAACTACGAACTCAAAAATTTAAGCCCCACAAAAATATCTTTTCAGCCATTTTTTTGTTTAAAAAAGATTGTACTTTGTACAAGAGAAATGTTGGTATAATCCATCAAAAGAGGGCAATATTTTACGAAAAGTTCACTTTTGTGATTGGGTAATAATGCTGTTTTGGTTATTAAATTTTCTATTGCAGACAAGCTACACCTCTGTACCACTCTATACACGTAAGTAAGATTTATTTTTAAAACAGGCACGACGTTTCTATCATTGGTGCTATCATTCTCCAGTACAGAAGTTTTAATGGTAAAGAATGTTTAGTATTTAAATCAATATTCAAACAATGTAAAAAAATTGTAAATATACTTAATAGGTAAGTATATAAACAAAACTATTACCATACATTATATTGTGCAATGTTTGTATGCA